TACTGCACAAACTTAGAGGGTACCAGTCATATCGAAGCCCCTATATTAGCCCTGCCCCTCCCAGTTTCATTTCAAAGGCTCCACACTCCATGACTGTCCCATAAACCCCGGGTTCAAGGAGAATCAGTAACCAAGGCAACACCGTGCACTTTACCTCTCTGGGCCCCAGACATTCTTTCCTCTTTGGGAGCCTTCATCCAGACCCAGGTATCCCTCCCTCACCATTTTCTCTGCTCAGCTGGCACTCCAAGGAGGAGTAGATGTAAGGAAAGAGCGATGCCTCCCATCACCAAGGCACCGTTGCTTACAAGAGCTCCCCAGAGAGGTGCACCAAACCCAAAATGACGTTAATATCTGCCCAAATAAATGCTACATGGAAACAAACAAGTTTCCGTGACCAAAGCTGATACTTTTTTACCTAGTCAACATAAAATATTCCCCAAATCACTTATTAAAGGATGTCCTCACTCACCTGATCACGTCCTCTCAAGACCCAAGGTGTTGTCTGAATGGGAGTGACCAATCCTTCCTCTCTGAGGCAGACCAATCTGCTCTGAGACCTACACAGAAAAAGCCTGGGTCTTCCCTGCAGGCCCTGAGGCTGGGACAATCACAGCTCCTGCCCTGAGAGCTCGGACAATGAGAACTGGAGCTGACTCCAGGCCTAAAGCAATCAAGGGCTCTTTTCTCATGAGGCACTGAGAGGGTGACTCCACATGCACGAAGTGCTTTGGGTTCCTGAGTTTCCTGCTCAGGAGGCTCTGGCAGGAGGCACAGTCTCAAATGCACCAGCTCTCACTTATGATGGGAGGCAGCTGACCCCATGGATGGTGATCAGAATGAGCTCAGCTACCCAAGTGAAACTGCTCTGCCAGCATCTTCATCATTGCCAGGCCTTACCACAGCAGCTCTTGGAGAGGTACAGCACTTTCACTTTAAAGATGGTTCTTACTGACACCCCCTCCCCCTTCTTCCCACAAAGGAAATCAGGAAGAATATATTCCACTGATTTCCAATCAAGATGTGCTGCAGTGTTTTTCTTCCTTTTTTTAAATTCCATCTCCTCTATAAACTTCTAATGTTGCTAATTTAGAGTTTCGAATGTGCTTTCTTGTCTAGATGTCACATACCACAGAGTGTAAGTCGGCATGTAGGTCACCCAGAACTTTTCTTCTGAGGAAGTCCACGTACTGACCAAAAATCCCTGCAGATACGAGCCCTTCCCCTGCAGTTGTCACTGCTGAAGTGGCAGATGCATTCCCCAGACTGTAGTGGTGACCCTGTCCCCACCCTGTCTTTGAAAATAGCATTCCTGGGACATTGATATGGCCTGTATCCTTCCGGTGGCAGCTGACACTCTGGCCACACACACACCCAAGGCTGGCTCGTGACCTTCAGCTTAAGGCGTGTGTGCTGCGGGGGCCCCCAGCCTTGAGCAGCTGCTTGTACTGCATCAGCTGGTGGGGTCTGGGCTGTGGGAGAGGCTTAGCAGCCAGTCTACCCAGTGTGGGGACCCTGGCTTCCTGCTAGTCAGAGCCCTGTCTACCTCATTCCAACGCCCCCGCCCCCCAAAGTTCATGGGAACTTGGACCAGTTGCTGCCATCACGAGGCCGTCTTGCTTGAATATTTTTCTGAGCTGGCCACTGTGAGATTGAAGGACATTTCCCAAATTAGAGCCTAAGGCAGGAAGCTCTCATTTCCTACCTGCCTTCCGTTTCTCTTACCATAGAAATAGTATAACTAAGACACCACCACAGAACATGGTGTAGCTAAGATGAAAAGCGTGGCTGAAACTTAAGAGCAGCCCTGGAACTACAGGATTTGGTCTCTGTCCCTTCTGGCTCAAAACAGGCCAGGGGAAGAAAAGCCAGGTGGGCAGTGGCAGGAGGAAGTGAAAATGTGTTTTCACTTTCATTTCTAGTGCTAGCAGTAAGTGTCCAGATCAGAAACATCTGGTTCTCACATGGGGTAGTGGACCAAAGTAACAAGCATCACCCTTTGATTACCATCTCTACTGTCTTGGGGCCTTGCTCTCACAGTGCTTACTCTACTGTCTTGATTGTCTTAACAATAATTGTGTCAATTCCCCGTTTGTCAAGAAGGTACCATTTCTGTTGACTGCATGGCAGGAGTGACCGCTTCCTTCGTTGCCCTTCACCTTCAGCAGAGGTTTTTCTTTTTCACAGAGAAACTCCAGGCACCCAAGCCCCCAAGCCTGTCCTAACAAGGCAGGAGGCAGGCCCCTGAGGAAGCATTTGAGCTCCAGGAGGGGGCGATCCCTCTAAAGCCACACTTGGGGTTTACTTTTGCCATTTCTGATCAGTTTCACCCGTTCTCAGGAATGAAGGCATCAGAAGGGGGGATTTAGGAAAAAGGGGGTGGGAATATGTCAGTGAATCTGCCTCAGTTTGAGGACTTGCAAAACCAGACCGGGATGATAAATTGAATTGAGAGAGTGCTCTCCCAATTTCAACAGAAACAATCTCCAGACTACCTGATAAAAATTCAAAAGCATCCCTGTGCTTCAGAGATTTCTGCTCAACCCAAGGGCCTGGCCTAGAATGGGACACCTCTTCTCTCTGCACGATGACAGAGGGACCATAAATGCTCCTAGTCGGGAGTTAAAAGGCACACAAACAATTTCTCCAAAGTTTAATGACTGGAGATTTTACCTATAGCTAATAGCAATTCCATTTCGAAACTTTAGATTCCTTCTGTCTATTGAAATTAGCTAGCTCCAATGGCGATGAGGTTACACTACGCCTTTGGAAGGGACGTTGACTATTTCACACCATTCAAAGACATGTATCATCCTTACAGAAGACCAAAGAGGTGAGTGGGTAGAAAAACCCTGCCAATTGGACTTTTTTACGTATCATACAGATGAATCTGTATTAACTTCTGATGGAAAACAGCTTAAATATAACATCTAAACTCTATCTAATTCTGGTTTGATAAAGCTTAAATGAAAACCGGCATGATAATTTTCTTCTCCTTAAAATGTTTCCCCAAAATAGCCCAATTTTTTAAAAATCCTACCACCATTTTATTATGAATAAACTCATAAATAAATACCATAATTATTTATTTAATTTTTTTCTCTTAAAGGCTACCTATCCTCTGAAACAAAGGTTATCTACTACACTGGCTGAACATTGCATATTAAGTAAAAATAATTTTCACCTAGAAAATGTAATTGATCAGGGAAAATGTGACACCAACAGTGACCCAATCGCCTTTGCCGTGGTTGAATATGAAAGGCTAATTGCAATCTCTAGCAGGAAACCTATTCCAAGAAAAACACACAATTAGTAGTAATTGTTCTTCCGGCTAACGCAGGAGACTGGGATCCATATTTCAAACAATCACTTCTTTTCCTGTCCTGTCTTTTTTTTTTTTTTTTAATGATGTAAAGCAATTGCTCGTCTAATGAAGGGGCTCAGTAAATAAACTTACACATGACTCTCAACTGATTACTCTGAAATGGGGACTTTTTCATTCCAGTAATTGCTCTTCAGAAATGAGACAAACCTCTTGTTCACATGAGACTCCATGATATAAATGTTTATTGTTAAAATAAATATAAGGGGAGCAGAACACAGGTGCCATCCCAAACTGCATTCATCAGTCATCATTTGTTTTCATCCACACAAACATAAATAAATAAATAAGTTGCCAAAATTGACTTTCCTTTTTAACCATCTCTCACTCATTATCAGGTAAAGAACACAGGGCATATGTATAATATCAGAAATGCAAGTGAGTTTCTGCAATCAGTATTTTCCTTCTAATGCTCATGTGAAATTCATAAGGGGGTCCGCAATAAACACAGAAATAATCACAAATTTTCTCAATTCTGAAGTTCCCGCAAACGTTAAACTCTCTGGGAAGCTTAAGGTGGAAAACAAAGTACTTATATTAGCATTAATCAACTTTAATAGTCTTTTTAAAGATACTTACAGTTTAGTCATTGTAAGAATCGCACTTTCCTCTGCACTCCCTTTGTTGTTCGAGGGTGAGTTACAGTAATAAGCCTGCAAATATCCTGCCTTGTGATTAAGATGGTACCTTAATGCAGACTATATTTTGGCTTCTATGAAGGTTTAAAGGTTAAAGGCATCATAAATTATGCATTTCCTCCTATGCCAGGCCCATAAAAGGGTGCTTTCACTGTTCATTAAAGATATTGCTTCTAAATGGGCAGAGGCTTTTTTTAAGTGCCTACAAAGAAACATTTCCATTATGTTTATACTGCTATGATGGAAAGGCAAAATAATTTGGAATTAGGAAACTGCTAGAATGTAGCATCTGTCAACAGGCACAGTGAAATTTTGGTTCACTGTTTACAGTGAAACAGTTCAACGCAGCCGCAGCCGGCCAACATGCTGTTCTCCTCCCAGGACAACAGTCTGGCAAAACCCACATCACCAGCAACAGTTAGGGCTTTCCCCTTCTCTCTCTGTCCCAAATTACAGATCTGAATAGGGACCAGAGAGACACACGATTCACACCAGAACATCCCCAGCTCCTGCGCTGGAGCAAGTTCTGTGTGAGGTGTGTTTGCATCAGCTGCGCATTGGCACATGTCCTTCTTAATTGACACCCTGACTTCCTCACTTATGTTTTGCCACGACTTCCAGCTACACGTACTGCATCTGCAGAGGCTGGGCTCTTTTTCCCCAGGAGCACCACACCCATTCATCCTCTAGCCTTCAGGAACAAAATGCAGATTTGGCTGGATCTGCGTCTCTCCAACCTCAGGCTACAGGGACCAAACGATACACAGCACCCAACTTGAGCCAGGGGAGGATTCTGGAGACAGAGTGCTTGCGGTATGCGCCCGAGTTCCAGAGATTCTTTCCAGGGGACAGCCCGCATACCCTGACAACTAAGTGGCAAAGTTGTTTCTTCTTTTACTGCAACGCCCTTTCCTCTCCATAAGGAAACACACACACACGCATGCACACAGGCGCACACACGCCTTGCTTCCTCAACTTACCAGTTTAGACTTGGCGCGTTGTAAAAATTCTTCCATATCGTTGCGAGAGGTTTGAACCAGGGGTACCCGGAGGGGCGCAGAGGGAAATCTCCGTCGGGGGAGAGGAGCGGGATCTCCGGGTAGTGGCCTC